GATAAACATCACATTTTCATTTTTGGGTGAACTATACCTTTAAGAAAAAAATTCCTAAAAGCTATTGTAGTTTTTTGCACTTTATTTGAGAAAAAAGTATTGTATGTCAAATGAGAAAAATAAGCAGAAATCTTCAACTAAACCGAATCCACAACTAAAATATGATGAATTATGTTGAGAATATAACACTAGAGGACAATGCATGATACCTGGCAAAACTCTTAATGATGTAACCACTGAGAGTATTTTCAGTTTAAATCAGCATGAAATTTCACACTGAATTTAAAAGTAAAGATTTTTTTATGTCAGAATACATTCTCTTAACCCAGTTTACTGTTTGCTCATCAGTATGCCATTCATGGGTTTATGTCCCCAGAAATTGCAACTGAGCTTCCCAGCACCATCAAAACATTTAGAGCTGTCCACTAATATCTGTCAATCTCTTTCCAGCTCAACCAATAGTGAGAGTTTGGGGAGTGGCTACTGTAGCAGGCTGAGCCAGAAGCTGTTTAGCCGATGTGGAACCATGGCTGATGCTTTACATGGCAAAAAGAAATTGCGATTTAGTTACAGATTTCAGTTTTTGGAAGCTAAAATGTGAAAATTAGGCAAAATACACAGAAAGACAATGGAGTAAAACAGGGCTAAGCACATTGGCGGTACGTTTACAAGATATTACACTCTAAAAAATGCTGGGTTAAATACAACCCAGTGCTGGGTAAAATAGGGACAAACCCAGCAATTGGGTTGTTTTGACCCAGCGGTTGGGTTAAATGTTTAACCCAACCTTCTGGGTAGTAACCCAACCGCTGGGTCAAAACAGCCCAATTGCTGGGTTTGTCCCAGCACTGGGTTGTATTTAACCCAGCATTTTTTAGAGAGTAGGTTTCAATCGAGAAGTCAAACATGTGCAGTTTCTTCTCAAAATGTATAAGCTAAACTCACATTTTGTCTCACATTTCAGCCCCAGATAAAATAGTAAGATATTGTAGTGATAAGAATAATCAAACATTTAAAATAAAGCATTTGAAAATATGCTTTACTTTTGTAATTCTACACTAAGTGACACAAGTAGCACAGAAACGTCATACTTCATCTTAAACAGTATGAAATTTTAAATAGTCACTTAAGTCTTTATAAATGTTCATTTTCAGCAAGAGACATAAAAAAAATGAATATGTGAGTAACAAGTCTCATGCCCCATGAATCACAAGTCACGGCCCATGGATATGAACTTCCTTACAGTTGTTTTAGCATTTTAGGTCTCATCTTCTTTAGTATTTACAAGCTTTTTTTGGACAATTTTCCAATTTAAAATGTGCTGAAAACATGAATGAATCGCTGAAATAATACAGTGGGCTCCAAAAGTGTGAGACCACTACTGAATACATTTTATATTGCAAATTATGCAATTTGAGTTCAACTAAAAATGCGCGTGAATATCAAATCTTGAAAGTTTTATACATTGCCCTTTTGCTTTAATGACAGGATCATTTTATGCAGCAGCATGTTTAAATGTTTAAAGAGCATCTTAAGTCATATGAACAGTGTGAAAAATGTACTTAGTTGAGTAGTACTGTATATATAAATAGTATACAAAGTTTTCATGTGTTGTGTGTGATGACATTATTAATTAATTTATTTTCTTTCCAATTTAAATCAGATTTTGAATCCTAGATTTTGGACCCCACTGAATGTCTTAGTGCAGAAAAACAGAGACACACACACACAAAAAAAGAATATGCCTGTGTGAGTCATGAGATATAATGTGCAACCTTATTCCAGAGGAAATTATAAACATCTATTCTTAAAAAAAAACGTGTGCTGGTGATGGTGGGAGGTATACAGTAATTCATTCGGTGACATTTCTGACGGGGCTTTACTGGGACAAGAACATCATGCTATTATTGTCGTCTGATTACTGTCATCATAGAACTGCTGGAGTGAAATACAGCAATAAGGCTGCTCTTTGATAAAAGACAGTGTATTTATTACCTTATCAAGTATGAACATGTTCAGGTAGGGCATGTATCCTTGTGTTGACACTGGACCTTCGTCGTCATCTTTAAAGTGCTCCTCCAGGGCTGAAGTGTTATGAGGGATTTTCAGGATGGTGCACAGGTTGTGAGACAGCACCTAAAGAGAGCCAGACAGCAACTCTAGGCCACTTGGGTTCAATCATCACGCAAAATAAAATAGATCAAGCGTGGTCAAAAGTTTTGACACGCTTGACTGAATTTATGCTTATTATGCTTAAATGCCTGAAATTATTATTTTTGTATTTACAAAACTAATTTTAGCAATGAAAACGTCAATACTGAAATTTTAGTCAGAGTGGATAGTGATGAAAAAGCATTCTGCTTTGTATAGAAGAACATTTTGATTTATTTAGTCATTTTGATTTTCTTATTATTGTAAAATATGGAAGAAATACTAAAGATAAAGCAGCTTTGGATGGTTACTGTATCCTTTAAGTTGATAAAATATCCAACTTTGCATAAAGTGCTAATCTAAAATCTACGTTTATTTCATCTAAGTGTTCAGTGCACATATATCTGCATACACCCCTGAGAAAGTCTTGCAAGACTGATCAAGCGTTATTCAAACATTATAAACATTTAGTCTGTGCCTCTCTCGCTCTCTCATTATAGCCTATTATTTTCTTTAAATATCTGTTTAAAAAAAAAAAAGGCCTAACTTAATGTTCAGCTGTCAGTACTTTGTAGCCCGGTATCGAAAGGAAATAATCTTGGTTGCAGAGAGAACCTAAGTTACTAAATGTATAACTGAAAATTGAGTTTCACATTATCTAGAACATAATGACTGTATGAATAAATATGTCTAAAAGAGACATCTCGTACCGAGTAATTCGATTTTATGGACAAAACTTCATGTTTTAAGTGGATAAACGACTGCGCATAACCCAATACACGGAAACTAGAGCTGAAACAGGTGATTCCTATAGTTGACAGTAGAGTAGTTTGCTTACCTTTAACTGGGATTTGGATACTTTCCCGTTTCGGTCTACATCCAGAGCAGTAAAGGCGTACCAGATGGGTTTGAGTATTTCGTCCCGGGATAGCATGATAAATTCAGTGAAAGATGTCAGAGCGCCTGTAAAACTGATCCTCTTCCCTCAGTGCGCGCAGCATGAGCGCGAGTCACGTGACACACACTTTACATAAATCTCACACATTTACATACAAATAAAACTGTAATGTGAACCGAACGAACCTAATATGTTCTTTTTATCAGTGCTTTCAATTTCGGCGTTGTCCAGTTTAGTGTTCTTTTGACTAGTCGGTGAAGCGTTTTTTTCCACGTGAGCATTACTCAGCCATAAACAGCGCTTAGGAAAAATAACAAACCACAAGAAACCCTTATAGTCAATTTGTGCGAATTATTATCGTCAGAGGAGTCGACCTGTTAAGTAAATGCCTTTTGTATGAGTAATCTTCCACACAAGATCGATTTGCAATGTATAAATTAATAATAAACTGATAACCACAGCACGTAAGCACGATACCATTCGTATGATATGCGTTAAGGTTTCCTCATCTGCACACTTTTCCGCTTTCCGACGAACTAACTTTTGTGCTTGCTTAAGTTACTACTGAACTGTTTGCAAACACTGAACTGAAACGCATGCATGTGTTTAAAAAAAAAAGAAAAAAAAAAGTATGTTCTAATAATTAATAAAAAGCTGTTTAATAACGTGCAGTAGCCTATGTCACGCCACTGGACATATCACCACGTGTTTATTTAAATGCAATAATTCGATTGTGTTCCTTAAAACAATGTTCAACCAAACAAGAGCTTTGTCTGCATGTACAACATACATCTTTGGCCACATGCAGCACATATATAATGAATCTGCAAGTCTTTGTTAAAACAATAAATGCAGTCTAAATCTATAAATAGAAATGAATGTAGAAATACATGTCAGATGGCATCTATCAGGCCATGTGTAAATGTAGCAGGCATTGAAAACATAAAAATAAAAAAAAAGATTTCCTGTATTTTCTGCACTGCATTCACAAACTGGAAAAAAAATGGCACAGCAACTACAACGCATGCTGGAGAAACACTACTTCTACTCTGGTAGATTTCCTTAGTCCTGAAAAACAGGTCTGTGTAAACGGCCCACAACAAACAACCATTGGTATGAAGTCAGAGGAGGAAGTTCAAATGTTTCGCAAAAATGATATCAAGTACTAAGAATCTTTGACAGTCTTTTGGCCTTAAGTCATCTTACAAACAAGTTCCAGAGACCTGCATTGTTTTTCAGTGATTTCCTTTTCATATTCTTGAGTATTGCAGCACTGACTACAATATCATTTCAAGCATGCTGACCATTTCTTCATGAGCCAACTTATGAATAATAACAGCAAGTAAACAGCATAGTAAATGAATATTTATTGAAGGCTTTTTATAGAAAATAATCTTTTTATTTGATCTATTTCCACTTGACATTATAAACAGATCCTCATAATAAACATTCATGATGTATGCATATTGTTATTTCTCAACTTGACTGCTGTTTCAACTATTTTCGCCCAAAATATTTTCTTTTTGACTAAAAATGAATGTAGCCTATACATATCCAATCATCCGAGACCACTGGTGAAAATGCAATTCATATCAGCATAACAATGTAAATGATAAAAATTGAACTAAAAAATGTATTATTTGTATTTGGCATGTTGCTTTATTGTCAGCAGCACTTGATCTGACCTTGACCTGAGGTTCTTGTGCTTCAAGGCAAGCGAGAACATTGGGAAAGCATCACGACACACCAAACATCCCGTTCATCTCTTTTTATTTAAAAATTGCAAACAGGTTTCTGCCTTTTAGATATCTATATCATTATGAACGAAATCTGTTAGAAATGCTATCATAGTGCACAGCTTAACCTCTGTACAATTGTGGCGAAAGGGTAATTGCAAAAGTTCATAATTTGCTCGTGTAATCACTAGTCATACTTCATCAGGAGGTAAAGGTAGTTAAATGGCCAGTTCTGCTGTTTCACTTCCCTGTAATGATGATGCTATTCTCAGAGCCTCTTCCAGTGATGTCTGTTCATTGAGCTGCAAGAGCAAATACAACATCTGTGTTCAATAATACACACATAGGCCCAGCTAGACAGATAGAGGTCAATGAGTGACTGAAGGCTGGAATAAATTACATGACTTTGCTCAGATTTTTTCCCCTGATTTGCAGTCTGAATGAGTCGATGTCAGTTGCAGACAAGTCCGAGCCAGTCGGCAAGTTTCAAGCAGTCTGAGAAATTTCACAAAAAATTGTGTAGTGTATGATAGGCACAGGATACAAATTTTTTTTTAGCTCCAGACTCCTAGCAGTTGCTCAAAAACATACATTTATACACAAACCAACTGCAACCAACTGGCCAAAATCTGGCATTGATTTTAAAGGGATAGTTCACCCAAAAATGAAAATTTGATGTTTATCTGCTTACCCCCAGGGCATCCAAGATGTAGGTGACTTTGTTTCTTCAGTAGAACACAAACAGAGATTTTTAACTCCAGCCGTTGCAGTCTATCAGTCGTATAATGCATGGCAATGGTAACAAAATCTATGAGAGTAAAAAAAACATGCACAGACAAATCCAAATTAAACCCTGCGGCTCGTGACGACACATTGATGTCCTAAGACACTAAACGATCGGTTTGTGCCAGAAACCGAACAGTATTTATATCATATTTTACCTCTAATACACCACTATGTCCAACTGCTTTGGGCGCGCGCACGGCATCCGGTGCGTCACATTTTCATTTTTGGGTGAACTATCCCTTTAAGCAACGAGCGCTGAATTCCTATAGATGGCAAATCAAAGAAAAATCAGGTCAAAATTGTGATGCATTCCAGCCTAAGTGAACTATACCTGAACAGCAATCTGTGTGCCATTAGAAGTAGCCAGAAGTGTAATTGGATGTGCTGAAAACTCATCCTGTATGCTCCTGGAAGATGATAATTCTGGAATCATAGCAGTCATCTGGAGAAAACAGAAACAAACAAACAAACACAGTTCATGTGACCAGTTTATAGACTGCTGTAGACATGATGCTTTTTTTTTTTTGTAGGCCAAAACCCAGAAATGTGTTAGCATTTTAAAACTTCCAGTTCCATCGTCCTGAAGTCAGTGGATTTTTTAAAAACGGGTTTTTGGTTAAATGCCTGAAATAAAGTTAATCTGTGGTTAATAAAGTCTCAAGATATGTTCATGTTTTATTCTACGACATAAAAATACATCAGTAACACCCCCTTTTTAAAAGCTTTTACCCGACTTGAAAAAGGCAGTTGCTATCAAATGGCGTATAGGACTGCAGAGATTGAAAGAAAAGGTTTTTTTAAATAATGGCAGAAAGAACTGTCAGAAAATTAATGATGGTGACGTTGAAGTCGTGCAGTTTATTCATAGCCAACGGTTTAGCTTTTTACTTTTTGCGATTTTATTAGACTTCTGTTGTGTTCATTAGTGAAGATTATCATGATGAACAAAATGTGTAAGAATCATAAACTTATGTTGGTCACAGAGCTTATTTTCTGCAATAATCCAAAAGCCAGTGGCAAAATCCTATTGGGTTTTTGTTGAGGGAATCAAACTACAAACATACGTCATCTTCACTACAGCGCTCTATATCCACACAAATCAGCAGTGGGCAGAATATAGTTATGTGATAATTGATAATTAAGAGAATGTTTGATCTATTTGCTGGCAATAAAAACCACACACATAAATATACTTGTTTGGTTCCCAAATTTACAATAGCCAAAAGCCTACATACCTGTCCTTCAGTCCCGTCCTCTGAGACCACAGTCACTGAATGAGCCTCCGCTGATGATAGCAAAGACTCAGTGGGTGGGATGGTGATCACACTGCCATCTTGTGTTACCATTGTGATTACATTCCCAACAGCCTGTCAGAAATCACAGAATTTCCCATTCAGCACATGTATTATGATTAGCTTCTGGATTTTCTGTAGACGTCTATGGCTGCAGCACATATAAACTAATGGCAATGTCATGAAATTTTTGTTATAGGGTAGGGTTTTTAAAAAACATTTAATAAACGAACATGCAGTCTTCTCACAAACTGTGTAGATGCAAATCAGTGTTAATTTTTAGTATAACTGATATGTTTGTTAACATTTTGAATTATATTTTATTTTTGTATATTTTCCTCTAACTTTAATTTTAGTTACATTTTGTCCTTTTTATTCGTTTTTTTTTTAACATATAGTTTTTGTTTTTTATGATTAGAAATGTTGCCTTGAAAAAGAGCTGAAATAAAATGTGTTTAAGCTTTTTATTTTCTGTAACGAGAATGTTTTTATGGTTATAGTTTTAGTTAACGACACTGTCATTTTTTTCCAAATTGTAAATGAAACCGATAATTGGAACATATTTTACATGAAAATACTACACTGTAAAAAAATGAATTTGTAAATAAAATGAAGATTTTAAAGTGCCCTATTATGGATTTTTGAAAATTACCTTTCATGCAGTGTGTAACACAGCTCTAAGGGAATGAAAACATCCTGCAAAGTTTTAAATCTGAAAGCGCACCGTGTGTAAAGTTATTGTCTCTCAAAAGAAAGAGTCGACTCTGAATCATTGAAACGAGTTCTTTTTAAAACGAATCCCAAGCCATTTCATGTTGACATCAACATGAAACATTAGCATATTGCTCGCCCACTTGTTGGTCTTTTCGCGTTCAGAGCATGTGAGCGGAGTGGTGATATTTCCTTAAGAGCGCAGAGCGCCTTTCTGAAGATTCCACTCCGCTCGCTCAATACGCTCAGCGCAGCTCGCTCAACCCAGAATGCCCTTTGGTGATTTGCTTGTTAGAGATCGAGAATCTGTAGAGATCGAGAATAGTAGAGCAGTTATGGAGTTCAGCAGTGGTTCTTCCAGCGCTGAGCGAGTGTTTTCGGGCACACCGCATGCTGAAGCCTGACACTTTGTCCAAGCGAATGTTTCTTAAATTAAATTCTAAAATCCAGTAAACATCAAGAGATGTTTTAATAGACCACTGTTCCCCGCAGTTATGGTTTATTTTAACTTGACACTAGAAAGTGTGTTTCTTTCATTGACGTCAGTTCGCGTTAGACTGAATGAAAATTCAAATTCATTCTTTGCCACTAGGTGTGCTTTTGGAGCGGTAAAAATAGCCATTTCCCCGGTAACGCTGTACACAAAGCAGCACTGTGCTCACAAACGCTGCTTTATCAGGCATTACAGGCATGATGAAATGAAAATGAGACCAATCGGACCAATCACCGCAGATTAGCGTCACGCAAAGGAGGGGTTTGGAAAAATGA